TTATTTGTATATTTATTGTTTAAACTTTAAACATATCAGTGATATCAAAATAGTATGATTCGCCATTTCGCCATTTTATTTAACAATATTAACAAAAGACATTTATGGTTATTGATTTACACAACAAAATAATTAATTCCAGTCGGTTGTTATTTACAAGTCTTTTACACATATTTTTATTCCTTTAATTCTCAGCTAAATCATAAAATAACAATAATGACTCCTACGAAATTCTTGAAATACTGTTTGGATAGTAAGTTATTTTTAGATTTTGCATCTTACAAAATGCTAACAGAATTATATTTTAGGTTTAGAGGATCTTCCTGTTGAATTACAACGAAACTCCACACAAATGCAGAATCTCGACCCAAAAGTTAAAAAACAAATACTCAACATTGAAAAACTGACATACAAGTATATGTTAAATGTTGTAGGATGCCCAGCAGATAAATTAGCCAAAATGATGATCTGCATACAACATCAGTTTGACAAAGCTAGAGAATACGGTGATGAGAATGTTCAATTGGCTATACAATCTTATGAAGCGGTATATTGGTTTTGAGTTATTCATGTTTCCCTAAAAAATATCTACTCTATTGTACCTTACAGATGGAAAATCATTTTAAGAAATTAGAATCAGAATTAGTTAAAATTCAGAATAAAGCCAGCTGTGCTATTAGAAATGTAGAGAAAAATGGTAGTTGTTTTATAATATATTGTATTATAATGCTAATGTGTTTGACTATTTCTTTATAAGTATTGATTTCAGGAGAACTTGAAAAGATCAAAGACAAAGAAATTACAAAGACAAGTGTACGGAGTGAAGGAGAAACATCTAAAAAGATACAACTGAAAAAAAGGTTTGTTCGCAACAAAACTTTAATCTTATTTGAGTTAATTTCTTTGTATTATAATAACCAACATTTTTCAGGAGTTACAAAAACAACAAGTGTAGCACCTAGTAAAATGCCTTTAGTTAATGTTGCCACTAATCCTACAAACCATACCAATAGTGTAACCGGCGTTACAATTGAAACTAGTTCCTTCACTGGTACCGGAGTTGCAAATTCAGCTGAAGTAGGTATTTTAACCATGCAAATGAACCAACATATTGTTTATGCAAAATCAAGTTTCGTACAGAGAAATGATTGGCTATGATAACCCAGATGTAAGAATTTTAATTTATTAATTCATTACTATTATTTTATTTAAACATTTTATTAAATATTTAATCATTAACACGTTGACTGTCACGTCATGACTGCCGACAATCATTCAATAGGTATTTGTTATACGCCAAACATATTTTTCAATGTTTTCCAAATTTGTGTATACTATATATTTGAAAAAAATGTATTACTTATTTCATACAATTGTAATAACTTCCACTATGCCACGGTCCTAATTTTGATACCTTATTGTAGCACCTTAGAAAAGTTAATAATATGAAACCAAATTCATTAATGGACACTGGCAGTTATGTGACATAGTAGTAATGATGAACTATAGACACCGTCAGTTACAAATGTATAAAATTTGAGAATTGCAGATGACCACTGGCAGTCATATGGCAGTCAATGTGTTAAAAAATAAATAATATTCTTAATTTTTATTGTTTCGTATAATTTTTTAAATTGTATCATTTTGATTATTTTAGTGTCCAATTGAATGATTCCACTTTGCATGTGTCAAATTAACTACCAAGCCCAGAGGTAAATGGTTTTGTCCTAAATGTTTAGCAGACAGGAAGAAAAAAATAACATTTTTAAAATAATTCAAATAACTGTCATGTTTTCTAGTAATATTTAACAAACTTAACCAAACCCCAATCAAAATATCATCATTAGCAAATAAACTGAAAAATAAAAATTGACAATAAGAATTATAGATTAATCAATAACTTTAATAAGATAGTTATAATTGGTTGGATATTATACAATGATTTTATTCAATTTATTATCAAAAAATTCTTATTACTCATAATTTATACTTTATTATTGTAATAATACGAAAAGAGCCTATATATATGTGTGTGTGTGTGTTACCTTTTTCTTCTTTCTGACAATGTTTTCTCTATTGACGTCTTGAAGGTAACCGGTATGTGTTAAGAAATTATAACACTTATTTTATTTGATTTAACTTTTTAACTTTATTATAAAACTTTTTAATATATGATATATTTTTAATTTTTACTGTTAACAATCTTCAATTCTTATGTCTCTTTGTATATACGATCTACGTAGTCTTTTACTCTTGCTTGTGATTGTCTATACAAAGAGACATAAGGACACTGTGTGTGACCGGCCTTTTTATAATTAATATACTATGTGTATGTGTGTTTTATCTATTGTTCTTATGATCTGATTATAGGTCATTTTATTATATTGTAATTAAATATTTAATTTTTGTCTTACATGATTATATTGATAGATGACTTATAGCTAAAGGTTATAATTGTTTATTTTATTATATAAATATTTAATTATGATTGCTTGGAAGTACATCATTACATTATGCTATGATCAATATACCTTAGGTAATCTCGATTCTTCATTGTATAGATGATAAGATCTTTAGTTAAAACATAGTCACCTCCCAGGTCGTATGGCAAATATCTATCACATGCTACCCATTCGGTTTCTTTAATTTTACCTCTTTTTTTAATGTTTGCATCACCATCAAAATATTCCCAGGAAATCTTTTTTTTTTGGCATCTGTTCTAGCTCATTGACATTAATTGATTAATGGCAAATTTACAAAAGAGTCGTCATCAAATTTTAACAGATAATTAAAGTTTAAATTACATATACTGGAAAATGATGCAATTATTTTATGAGTGAGCAGTTTATAGTCATCTGCTTTTGATGTATCTTTGTGTACCAGCTTTTCTGCATTTAAAGATTTGTCTTTTGATATAACAAAAAGTATTTTAACATCTTCTTTTACTTGAACCCATGTTTCACATATAGCATCTCTACGATTTAGATTTTTTACAGTTGATATGACAAGTACAAATTACTTAAATCTAAGCACTTTCGGTGAAGTGTTTGGTTTTAATGTCATAAAATGCAAAACAAATCCTAGCAAACTTGCTAGGAAATTATATGCATGACATCTTTATGTAGTAATAAATTGTTACTAAATAATGTCTACTTAGACTATCTAACTAAAATCAAAAATTAATAAATAACAAAACACTGTAACATTAAAAAAAAATAAAAAATGATGTTTGGCTTTAAATTTATGGACCTAAAAATTATAAATACTAAGTATGTGAGTCGTAAGAGTAATTAATAATTAAGAGCAATAAGAATTGAGCACTATAAAATAAATATTGAATAAATAAAAAACTTTAAATCTTCTATCACGGTATCATTCAAATATTTCAAATATAATATCTAGTATTTACGAATACTTACTTATTTATTTATACTCGAATATTCTCAAGAACTAAAGATAGGTGTCGTTAAAATGTATTGATCAGTATATATGATGACTGATGAGAAAACTATGAAACTGTGTTTAGTGTAATTGTGTATTTTTTGTCTGAAAAGTGAAAATACTTTTTCTAGTATAAATTATAAAAGATTGTTCCCACTATCATCCATCAACTTTAAAAGAATTTTCTGGTTGAAAATTGGATCTAGTTAGTACACTAGTGAATTAAAAGTTAACATTTTTTAATAGTTATTAAAATAATCATTGGGAAAATAGGTAGCAACTACTCAGCTGTTCATTAAATGTCGAGTGTATTTTATAATTGAATAAGTCACCACTATATGTAATATGTTTGTGTAATATTTATAATATTTGAATTAATAGATTCTGAAAAGTCTATCAGTATATATAATAACATTACTAAGTATACGCTATGATTCCCGGGTCTAAACTTATTTACTCTAGATACCTTATTTTTGCCTACGACTTTAACTAAATAAATACTTGAATGGTTCACAGAACCATAAAAACCTTAATGAATTTTACATGAAGTTAGATACACAAAAAAATCACTTTTGATTTAATTATTTTATCAGAATCCTGGCAATGTATGCCCAATTTAAATACCATCAGCTTTATATCCTAAATTTCACTATGCATAAAATTTCAAAATGATGGACTAATTATTGTTATAATTAATTCAATCAATATACAAGTAACTAATCAAAATATTAAATGTATTACAAGAATTTATTTATTTTTATATCATAAAGAATGTAATAGTGAAAAGAAAATTCAAGCTTTACAATTTATAGGATTTTTATACCACTGAAGTTGATATTACAGTTCATATTTAGATGTATTCGAATAAACTATATTACATAAACTTAAACCAAAAAAAGAAACTAAAATGATACAATAAAGAGTAACATAAATATAATCAACAACAATTTAAACTGTAATAACCAACTTAAAAGAAATATGATGATCTTGTTTAAGTCAAATATTTTTAAAATTGAATAAAATCTTTTATTGATCATGTCTCTTTAACTAACCATTTCTTAATATTACAAATATAAAAAACATAACATTCAATAACAACAAACTTTCAAATCCAAAAATTGTGAAACAAGTTAATTGAACTAAATACTCATTAAAATTAAATACATTTAAAACAATTATTTAAAAAAAAAAATACTTTTACGTATCATGTATGTATTTTAAATGTATAAAATTCAAAAAAAAAAAAAACATTAACTAAATTGTAAATTAGTAATATAATTATGTTTAATATAAATAACTAGCTCCAACACACGTCAGGTCAGGCACACAAAATCATTTTGATGCTATAACGATGCGACTAGATCAGGAATGTTAAATGTAAAGTCGGCAAAATTTAAATATTATACTAACTATTTAAACTAGCTAATGTCAAAACATGCACAAGTTTCTAAAATTAAATTTTAAATGTTATTCAGCAGTAGTTAAGCACAAAATAACAAATTAAGTAACATTTAATACATTTAAAAAAAGAATATTATGACTGCATGTGCTATATAAATATAAAATGTTCATAATTTACTTCAAAATTAAAATGTCATAAAAAAAAAAAAACAATAATTTCAAGGTGCCCTAGATCAGCAGTTTTTAACCAGTGGTCCACTAGAAAATTTAGGTAGTTCTTCCAGCAAGCGGGTGTTGTATAATCATTATGTGACAAAGTATTATATTACTGTGAAGGTTTAATTTGGTAAACTGAAAAAAATAAATTTTACTATTATTATTTAAATTAATTAAAAATAAACCCGTAAAAATGCAGTTATTATTATCACATGTTTTAAAAATATAAAATATAAAGATATTATTGATAGGGGAGGAACTTTTAATAAAAAATTGAAAAAAAAAAGAAGACTGAACAAATATTTTAATTATTTACGCATATGTATACAGTATACATCATGTTCTATGTTAATTGCTTAAATATAATTTTTATTTTTATTTATGTAATACTATGAATATAAATATGATGTACTTATATGTATATAATAGCTTTCTATTTTATACATTCTTAAATAGTTGCAATAATATAGTATATAATATATATATAAATAATATATGCTTGTATATTGCAACTTGCTTACTGGATAAGTGATTCCTACATTAGTATTTGCCATATGATAAGAACTGTTCTAAAATACCTTAAATAAACAATTAGGTAAAATTGTAACTCCATTGAATTTTCTAAAATAATATAATCTCTTAAGAAGCTCAGGCACGTATATTCATCAGTCACTATTGTTTTTTAGTGATTACCACAAGAAAAATTGAAAACAAAAAACCAATTAAACTTTTAAAAGTTAATCATCAATAATTTAGTAACAAATAAATTATAACAAAATAAAAATAAACTGTAAATCACATTTTATACAATAAACCTATGTCCCATTCATAAAAATAAGAGCAAATGGAACAAATTTAATTTACAGTTCAAACTCATTTTACAAGTTTATTTTTATTTTAAAATGTATTTTGAGCCACTGAATTTAAAAGTATTTGAAAACATTTTCACTCTTTTTCACTATGAAAGTTATACTACAAAAACTGAAAAACAATTGATTTTTAAAGTGTGTTTTCATGTTTTATTTTTCAAAGCAAATGTATTTAAGCTATTGTACTTTTTAGTCTAATTACCAAATCTCAATCAATTAATCCATACCTAACAGTTTTTTTAAGATAAAAAATATAATAAAACCTGTATAAAATGGATATTTATAAAATCATCAAAAGTATTCGCTGTAGACAAGCTTTAATATCTTTTTAGTTAAAGTTAAATATGTATTTAAAAAATGAAAATAGTGTATTTTTATGAAGAAAAAAAAACCCAACAGTAAAATTTAACATCTTTAAATATTATAAATATTACACATAGGTACACATGTAATTATAATAAGTGATATATGATAATAAATACAATAAATTGAAAACATTATCATTTCTATTGGTACAGGAAGATCAATATATCTTTGCACCAGGGCTGGCAAGAGGGTGGAGCAAGTGGGGCCAAAGCCCCGGGGCCCAAGCCTCCAGGGAGGCCCGTTGTCTGAGGCGTATTTAGGCACAGTCGTACAGGCTCTATAAGCCCGGATGGTCAATTTTACTAATTTTTTGAGTAGAAAAATTATTTTTATACAAATTATATATTATATAATTTAAAATTACAAGTTAAGCCGTAAACCTTCGCATCCAATCGCTCAAAATGAAAAAGCTACATGTAGCTACTATATTATAGACATATGCATATGCAACACAATACGAAACAGTACACACAAAGATAACAAAACATACGTACATTCAATGCAAATTCGGTCTGTGTAATCGTCTAATCGGTTAAACTACTGTATTAAAGTGTTATGTATATCGTAGTCAAATATGAAATAACTATTAGCTACATAAAGGGACAAAGATTACAGTGGTTTGGGCACATAACGAGAAGAAGTGAAAAAGAAACCATTAGGACAGTGATAGAATGGCAACCAGAAGGGAAGAGACCACAAGGCAGACCAAGGAAGACATAATAGGTGGCTTGACATAATAGAAGAGGATCTTAAAACTGTGGGAGTAAAAGAATGGAAGGAAATTATACAAGATCGAGAGAAATGAAGGGACATAGTGTTGGCAGCAAAAACTCTAATAGAGTTATAAAAGCTAGTTATGATGATGATAAGTAAAGGTGCCCGGAATTGATCAGCCCCGGGGCCCACAAAAGTTCTCACCAGCCCTGCTTTGCACTAATTCATAATTCACTTGTGACATGTATTTGTGTGTCTTATTGCTATAAACAGTTACGCCAAGACAATTATATTTAAGTTTAAATTAAGATTTTTGTCCATTATCAAGGTATTGAGGATAAATATTAGTATTTATATTCATAATAAAAAGTGTTTGTTATAAAACAGCCAAAATACACTGGAATATTTATATTTTTGTTGGGACTTGATCATCTAAGTTAGGATTTAGTGTAGTTTGTTTACGACATCTGTTTTTTTTATGTTGGTGCAGATTTGACATTACCAATATGATGTTTAAGTAAATGCAACACAAAAGAACTCACTTGATAAGTGTTCTTAAATCTGATAGTTTAAGACTGTAATAACATGAATCAGTTTTTTTTTCAATAGATTTTCCTTCTTTTCATATACTTTATTGTCAACATGATACCTGTAAATAATTTTAGTTTTATTCAACAAAATCAAAATAATCGGATGACTTACAAAAACTGCAGCAAAAGCGAATATTTTAGATTTGTAACTTGTATGGTAATGAAACATAGAGGTAGTTGACTCGTTATTCCCAAAGTCTTCTTCAAAAATTCAAAACCAATTAACCGAATTAAGTTTAACCGATTAGAAAACCTCATTATTATATGTCTGGATCTGGAATAATTCACCAACTGAAAACTAGAACAATAATTATTGTTGCATTACATTTGATAATTCGTTATCATAATTATTACTTAATGATAAAGGGAAATACAAATATTTTTGTTTTTTTAAAAATTATTCAGAGAACTACTTAATTTGTTAAATATTTTCCATTCGCTAAATTGTCAATTACAATGAAATCTACATAACATTTTCTTTTGATAAACTGCACATTTAACCGTTTCTCGTTCTTCTATTTGTGATTTATCTTATCCACAACAATTCCGTGATGAGATCATACCCATTTATTTTATAATTTATCATCATTATTCAGAATTAAAGGGGTTTGAGACTAGTCTTTTGTGTGTTATGTATACAGAAACAATTTTAACTTAAATGTTTATTTATTTATTTTTAATTAGTTATAAACGCATAAAGGTCTTTTACCACATCTTATTTGTCTATAAAAATACATATTATTTGGGTGTACACAATAGCAAATGCCTAATTATAATGTATGGTAGGTAATCTATTTTATATCAAATTTATACATCTTCAAATATTAATTGGTAGTGTCTACCCATTTTGCATGTTTTGGCCTTAGAACTTCAGTGTTTTAAAAATATATAGTAGGAAAATGAAGTAGGGATTACTTACTAAAGAATATGATTTATACTTCCATTACAAGTAAAGCTTAATAGAAGGCGCCCAAACAACTAATACCTAATCAATCTCTTGTACATTGTTTTGCAAAAAAAACCAATAAGCAATACATTTTTTGAAAAGTTAAAGTGTACCTATACGCATTCAAAATTAAATAATATAAAACATGTATAATAATTAATATGTATTATGAACCATTAATAATGGTCTATTAATTATTATATATAGGTACCTATATATTAATGTGTAACAATCATTCCAATGACTCCAACGATATCAGATAATTAAGATTACAGTTAATTCAAAACAAATTTCCAAAAAAGTTCAAAGAGTCCAAAGAACAACGAGAAGAAAGTATCGAAAATCTTGTTCTAAGCCATAAAAACAATGCTGATTTTAATATTTTAGAATTTTAATGGGGAATTGCGTATAATTTAACCTTTTAATACATTTTGTTTTCAAATAAACATATAATTTTAATTTCGTATTTATTGTGTCTTATGCGAATTATAATAATTGAATAATATTTTGTAGATGAACAGCGCGTTATCGCACGCCACCGCGTCGGTTGCGCGAATATTAATTATAACACAGCCGCCGTGATTTCGTCTTCTGCCGTACGTCGTCAGTGTCACGCAAAGACCAAAACATCCGCATTTTTATACGTATTACTATTAGCGCAAATAGTCGTTTTTTTTTTTTTTTTATGTATTCTTGTGTGTGCTAATCGACACGTTAATTATAGATTGTTAATTGCGTTTTAATGTTTTATTAATATATGTTAAAATTCCTAAAACGTAGCACGCTCGCAGAGTGAGATTTACTAATTTGTTTTTAGAATTAATAGATATGACCAGTTGCATTAACTCAAATAGCACGCGATGTTAATATAAAAGTAATTATGAAAACATTTTCGAAACTGTATGGTTTAGTCATATTTATTTCAATGCGTGTTAAAATACACTATTTTATATTCACTTATTAAATGTAAAATGATGGTATTACAATAAAAAATAAATTATTTAACATCATTAGAGCATAAAGAGACAAGTAGACTAGTAAAATTGTCATTTCGATATACCTACATTAGTTAAAATATCACAATATATCTCTCTGACATTTGTTTATTGTATTTTTATTTCTCATGTTTTTGTTTGTGTGCTTATTATGTTCATATTTTATTAAAACTTCAAGCTGCATGTATTGATTACTTCATATTTCTTACGATTGACTTGTCAGTGGCACTGAGTTCAGTTAAAAGGTAGTTCAATTCTCACCAAATCCCACCAAACCACCCATTTAATTCATTGCTCAAAAACTTAAAAAATATTTAAAACACCAAACCACAGAAGAACACTCATGAATAATATATCTTGCCGCACCAAATTTATTTAACAAATTTCAAATATTTTTAATTTTATGAAATTTATCTATTTCAATAAAAGCCACTGTTTAGTGTTTACAAATATTTTTATGGTATAATTGCATATATTTATAGAATTTTAAAAATTATTTTAATTATTATGCAAGATTAAAATGTTAATACACAAATATAAAAACATTTTAAAATAATTTGTAATATTAATTTATTAATTAAAATATAGTTTACTCAACATTAGATTAGATTTTCTGTTTACCTAAGTAATACATAACTGGTAACCGCTTAAATACTTTGTACCTATTGTATCTAGATTTATATTCCATGCTAGGATTTTCAGAGTTTTATAGCTAACTTTCCATGTATATTTTGCAAATCAAATAAAATTGAATGATAACATCAGTTAGAACAAATCAGTGAAAATCTAAGGAATGAAGTTAACTATTTTTGATGATGTTGTAATTAATGACCTAACCCTCACTGAAATAAAACAGCTTTGCATTTTTAAAGAAATAAACTCATTTTAAACAACAAAAAATGTATGCTGTTGATATTATGCAAGACATCTTAGAGGGTGTTTGCGCAAATACAATATTAGTATGATGTTAAAAACTATAATATATGACTTGAATTATTTTACTATTAATATCCTTAACAATAGAATAGAATCGTTTAACTATGGACCTATTAAAATCCATGACAGATTTCCACTTTTATCAAACGAATCATTAAAACTTGGTATAATAAATGTAATGGAAATGTTATGTTTCACAAGAAATTTAGCTTTAATTATTTGTGAACTTGTTCTCTTACATTCAGAATATTGGTGTTTATACGTTACTTTAAAACAAATCATAGATATTCTTTTTGGAAAATGCTTTCAAGTAGAAGACATTAAACTTTGTTAAGTTTTAATACAATAGTACCACAAATTTTGTATTAAATTATTTAACACCCATCGTAAACCCAAATTTCATCATATGATACACTATCCTTTTATTATACAATTTTCAATGTTTTATACAGTGTGATGAAGATTAAGAAATAAAAAATATACAAGATGAAAAATCATTAAATAAATTATTTTTAATTAAAAATTTCTATATACATTAATATCATCATACAACTTACGTAACAAAAAACAAAATAATATTTTACTAAAAGATCCTGTTTATTTACCATGTAATTTATAAATAAAATGCAAAACTTAAAAACAATAAACATTTAAGTTATAGATTTTAAATTTTTTTAAATTATTTTCAATTCTACAGTAATGAAAAATATTTTATTTAATTGTAAAGAAGTGTATCAAATATTATTATTAAAATACATAAATATATTATATTGAAACACACAATGCATTATATTAACATAAGATGAATTATATAGGATCTAAAATTAGTTCACAATAATAATATAGATACTAACTATTTAGTAACGATATTTAGTAGAATAATCTCTAGGAGCAACAACTAAACCACGTCCTTTTCTTGCACCTCTATATACTGTTTCAATGATATCTATCACTTCTTGTTTGTTTTCAATTGCCCAATTAATTTTATTGTTATTTCCGGTACCCAAATCAATCATAATGTGCTTGTTGCGGAAGAAAAACATAAGTGTACATGGATCATACAATTCATACCTAAATAAAAAATAATCAATAATTTTAATAAGAACATAATTAATATAATCAATAAAATAATTTATTTTAGGTTACATTTTATTGAAATCAGGTACTTTAGTGATGTCAACTAAATATACAACAGCAAAGTTTTTCACTTTTTCTGCAATACCGTACAAAACTTCATCCATTCTCATACATGTAGGATCCCAATCGTGACCAAAACGAATAACCTATAAATAGTTCAAATATATTAAATATGTAATAGACCATTTTTATAATAAAGTATAAATGTTAAATCAATAATGGAAAAAATAATAAAGATTTAAAAATCTTTTTAAAAAGTTAAAATAAGATGATATTAATTAGATTCATTTTAGTAGGTAACAGAGATTCCTATAAATATAAAAATAAATTAAATAATAGTAGTAAAATAATATACTTTTATCCTTCGAGTTACATCACACCTAATAAATAGCAAAGCGGTACCCACTTGCATACCTATCTAAAACAGCATTTCCTATTTTTATTAAAGTTTTTTAATTTGATATAATATTCTTTAATACCCAACCAATTCTGTTAATTATAGCATGACAAATTGTTTTCATACATATTCTTTCTGAAACCTAACATCTAACGAACAATATGCAATATACTGCCATAATATTTTCATGTTTGTTGTGATTTTAACTTAAACAAATCTACTAATATTTATAAAAAAAAAAAATATGTCTTTTATTTATTCAATATAATAAGTTTTTACCTTAAGTTCCATAAGCCAATGTTTTATTTATATTTGATTTAAATTTAAGAAAAATACTATTAATATGTTAGTTTTAAGATAACTGTTACTTCAACAATAACAAAATAAAACATACAACTCAAAATCAGTAAAAAAAAATAATAATAATAAGTAAAATAAAATGTTGTATAATAAATTATTTTATGTTGATCACATAATCACATATATATATTCTACTTAAATCGGTGAAAAAAAAGTAAATGGATTTAAAATAAAATAATGATTATAATTATAATTATAATTCTGTACCTTTCTAATTAAATTTTAATATAAGTAAGATATTCTACTTACAACCACTCTATCTTCCTCTGAAGAAATTGCCTGATCAACTTGCCAGCCGTTAAACAAATGCGTTAACATATAAGACATGTTAAATGATTTACAAAAATTTTTTTTTGAACAGTGAAGTCTTGTTTTATATTAAAAATAAACTACAATATTAATTTATTTAATTTTATGTTTTCAATTTTCAAGTTTTGTTTTGTTTGTAATAACTTGTAGGTAGAGCTATATTGTTGAACAATAACAAAAACGATATAAATT